AGTGCCCAAGGCTTGTTAAGAAATGTTACTTTACAATTCCATTCGAGGGGTTGGATCACTATCCCAGGGTTTCTGGATCACTATCCCAGGGTTTCCAAGAAAGAAAAAATGGAATTCGACAGGTTCGTTTTGTCCCCCCCGCCCTCTCCCTCTATAGGGGTAGGGATGTTATATATTTTACATATTCAATATCAATATCAACTGAATATGTCATTCGTTTCTTTGCTTCTACCCGTTTTCACTTCGTTGTGTAGCAGCACTCTGCTTCCGGGAGTTGAGTGTGCAGCTGCCAGGCGAGAGATTGAACTATATAAGTGTTTCAATTTCATGACATGCCTTGTGTGCTTGTGAAATTTGATGCCTTTATCGGGACATAAGAATGTATCGTCCTGCGGTTCGTATACCTAAGGAATTGAAATGGATTAGGGTTAGTATGAAATGGATTTGGGGGTGGATTTCTGAAAATTATTGTTGGTATATTGTTGTAATAAATGGGGGACCCATAGCCCCCACTCCAAACACCAACCACCCAGCAGTGGTGGCTGGCAGCGGCAGAGCTCCTGCAAAGACGCTGGGTTGCAGTTGGGCGGATGGAGTGGTCTATTTAGGGTTATGTAGGTAGATGGCATCCCAGTATGCCAATTAATATCACCAATTCATCAGTGAACAGACTACAGTACATTTGATGTTAAAAGGTTTGAATCTCTAGTTTTAAATACATACATATATATATATGGTCTTATAGATATGTGGATATGTTACATATATAAATATATACTATATACATATATACTATATATACATATACTATATATACACTCTATATATAATATACACTAAATATATACTATATATATATACTTTATATATACTATATATATATATACTATACATATACTATATATATATATACTATATATATACTATATATATATATATATATATGCACATCGATGTATATATATATATATATACACATGTGTATACATATTTTTCCCCACCTGCCAGGTGAGGGTTGTTAGATGTTATCAGAGTTGTTCTTCTCCTTCTCCTCCTCCTACTCCTCTTCCTCCTCCTCCTCCTCGTCCTCCTCCTTCTCCTCCACCACCTCTGCCTCCACTCCCATGTTCACTTCCGCCTTGCCAACTCTTCGCCAAGCTCTTCGCCAACTTCCGCACGTAGTGGGCACTGCTGGAGCTCGACCTGGGACCTGCCGAGCTCAGTGAGCACCGCTGGACCCCACCCTTTAACCTGCCGAGTTCAGTGAGCACCGCTGGACCTCAACCTGGGACCTTCCGAGCTCAGTGAGCACCGCTGGACCTCAACCTGGGACCCGCCGAGCTCAGTGAGCACCGCTGGACCTCAACGGCCAGATAGAATGCCAGAAGATATGCCAGATAGAACGCCAGATAGCATGTCAGATAGAATGCCAGAAGATATGCCAGATAAAATGCCGGAAGATATGCCAGATAGAATGCCAGAAGATATGCCAAATAGAATGCCAGATGGTATATCAGATACAGTGCCAGAATGTTTGCCAGATTGAATGCCAGATAGAATGCCCCCGGGGGGGGTTCCTTTTTGGCACTTTTTCTTTGTGGGAGCCATTTGACAAAGGATTTTCAAACTTGTGGGGGTCTGCTTTGGGGAGACTAGTAGCAGATTCAATGGGCTTGTGTCTGAAAAGATTTCATTTTCAAGACTGAAACTCTGTAAGGGTGATTGTTTTTCTTGCCAAGGATAATTGTTGTATGTTCTGTGAAAAGATATTGGTTGTATGTTCTGTGACCAAGTTTCCAACTTGTCGAGTAGCTCCATGTCAGCATCACCACTGAACAAGTCAGTTTGACTGTCATCCATGGCTGCCAAGAAGGATAGTGGAATGAAAGACAAATCAAAATCATATAATAATCCCAAATCCATAGCCATTCTTTATATGCAGCCTGCAGATCTAGCTGTCGCAATTTTGATGAGTGTACTTCTGCCTGTTTCGTTTGAAACCTGCAGATCTCCCTGGGCCATTTCTTTTTCAGCAGATCTTGAGCCCCCAAATCCTGGCAGGTGAGATCTGCAGGTTTTGCTTTCCACCTGGTACTTCTGCCGGTTTCGGATGAAACCTGCAGAAGTCAAGGCCTGATTTTGGGAAAGGGACTTCTGCAAGATCAATTTTGGAAGCCAATGAATTAATATGCGGTGGATTTGGGTCTAGGCAGGCTGGATTTCTGCCGGTTTCGTTTGAAACCCGCAGATCTCTGTAACCATTATCCACGGCAATTTAATTTGTCAATTATCCATGGCAAAAAAAACAATATTTTGGAAGCCAATGAATTAATATGCGGTGGATTTGGGTCTAGGCAGGGCCGATTTCTGCCGGTTTCGTTTGAAACCCGCAGATCTCTGTAACCATTATCCACGGCAATTTAATTTGTCCATTATCCATGGCAAAAAAAACAATCACCCTTACAGAGTTTCAGTCTTGAAAATGAAATCTTTTCAGACACAAGCCCATTGAATCTGCTACTAATCTCCCCAAAGCAGACCCCCACAAGTTTGAAAATCCTATCTGGCATTCTATCTGGCAAATCTTCTGGCATTCAATCTGGCAAACATTCTGGCACTGTATCTGACATACCATCTGGCATTCTATCTGGCATATCTTCTGGCATTCTATCTGGCATATCTTCCGGCATTTTATCTGGCATATCTTCTGGCATTCTATCTGACATGCTATCTGGCGTTCTATCTGGCATATCTTCTGGCATTCTATCTGGCCGTTGAGGTCCAGCGGTGCTCACTGAGCTCGGCGGGTCCCAGGTTGAGGTCCAGCGGTGCTCACTGAGCTCGGAAGGTCCCAGGTTGAGGTCCAGCGGTGCTCACTGAACTCGGCAGGTTAAAGGGTGGGGTCCAGCGGTGCTCACTGAGCTCGGCAGGTCCCAGGTCGAGCAAGAGCTTGGCGAAGAGTTGGCAAGGCGGAAGTGAACATGGGAGTGGAGGCAGAGGTGGTGGAGGAGAAGGAGGAGGACGAGGAGGAGGAGGAAAAGGAGTAGAAGGAGGAGAAGGAGAAGAACAACTCTGATAACATCTAACAACCCTCACCTGGCAGGTGGGGAAAAATATGTATACACATGTGTGTATATATATATATATACATCGATGTGCATATATATATATATAGATATATAGTATATATATATACTATATGTATAGTAAATATTTATATATATATATAGAGTAAATATATATATATATAAAGTATATATATAGTACATATATAGTGTATATATATATATACACTATATATATACTATATATATATAGTATAGTATATATAGCATATATATATGTAACATATCCACATATCTATAAGACCATATATATATACATATGTGTGTGCATTTAAAACTAGAGATTCAAACCTTTTATAACATCAAATGTACTGTAGTCTGTTCACTGATGATTTGGTGATATTAATTGGCATATTGGGATGCCATCTACCTACATAACCCTAAATAGACCACTCCATCCGCCCAACTGCAACCCAGCGTCTTTGCAGGAGCTCTGCCGCTGCCAGCCACCACTGCTGGGTGGTTGGTGTTTGGAGTGGGGGCTATGGGTCCCCCATTTATTACAACAATATACCAACAATAATTTTCAGAAATCCACCCCCAAATCCATTTCATACTAACCCTAATCCATTTCAATTCCTTACCTCCTCTTTTTTTACTTGTGTATGCTTCCTGCTGGGCCCCTTCCCCCCCTTGCCTCTTCCACTTCCCAGGTTTTCATGCTACCTATCGTACCATATATTAAGTATTGATATTCGGAGATGGGTCAATACCTGAGGCCAATTATAGGAACATGGGAATCGCGGGATGAACATAATATGTGCCAGTGCCAGCCAACTATTTTAGTGCTCACCTAAAGTCCCAAAGAGCCTTGATCGACACCCATATGAATAGCATCATACGGCATCATCCGCATCATTCATTTAACTACGATCTCCAAACACTTCAAACTATGCATGCACTACCTAATTGGCAATATTGATCAGCTATTATATGACTATATGTTGCAAATAATATTTGCTGTTTATAGTTTATAGTTTATAATATGCTACGTTCATATACTTGTGCCATATACTACTGGTACCATTGTGTACTATATTTTGTATATTATACAAATTCTTTAGATAATTTTATACACACGATTCGCAACATGCTACATACTGCGCAAGTAAAGTGCACTACCTATATGCCAGCTCTGTACTGCCTCTATAGTGTATTGTTCGTAATCATGCATACTTGTAGTGTCCAGATTATATCACATAAATTACTTCACGCGACTTACATGACAATGCGAACATACACACGAAACCCCGAGCCCTCCGGATCCGCATCCCCGATTTTGGTGCACCTTTGGTGTGCGCCCTGCCATAAGAATCCAGAAGTCATAAGCCTGTCATAAGCATCACAAGTTCAATAAGGCCACTTCCGAGAGAAATCTTCGCGCTCACGGAGCTTGGAGCGGCGCAGAGAGTCAGTTCGATGGCGCTGAGGCCCGGTGACTGTGATGGCAATGGGTTTTGGGTCTTTTGGGCCGTGTGGGCCTTTTTGGATGCTGTTTATAGCTTGAGGAATGGGGAGCAGATCGATGTTTGTTGCTATCTATTGGCATTGGATTTGGTTCAATCAGCGTCCGTCAGGCAGAAAAGGCACCATGGCTCAAATTTTGCGTGCCACAACCCTTCGCACCCGCACCACCGCCCACCGCACCACTCTGCAGGTGGTTGGCTGAACCTCAAGCTGTTGTGGTCAAAAAAGTGCTCGGAAATTCGCTGCATTACTCTACGCCTCAGGAATTGTAAAAGAACAGAAAACGCCTAAGACCCTCCTAATGTCACATTATGGACGACGGACGTTAGACTTGCAGTGAGACAATGTTAGCTGCATAGAAAAGAACTGCAACATTACAAGTGGAATCGTTCCAAATTTGACGGTGAGGCAAAGACCACCACACAAACTGCAGTCAGCCGCGTGCCCAGAGCTGATCCAGGGTGGAGGGCTCTTGTGTTGCAAAGTTCACTTGTAATATCGTGTAATTATATAGATTTCCATTGAGTGAGATTTGAGTAACACTTGCATGCGTGTGTTCTTAGTTGGGCCTTTTTGGAATTTTTGGACATACGGCTAAGATGCCGTATTGAGGATTAGACAGGTGTCGGGACATGATACATTTTGCTTACACCATGTAGATAGCGGTTTGGAATAGCTACTTTGTCTGCAGAAGATTGGAGGTTACTGCTTACCAGAGGCCGAATGGTGCGTCTGTATCGGTTTGGCCAAGGCAACCAGCCAAAAGCTGCAAAGATGATCGAGCCCGTTGAGGCAATGCACGGATATCTCTAGCCAGACGTCTCCGTGGCACTTTCTTGCTCATCTAAAGCAGTTTCAAGCTAGTCTTTTTTGAAAACACATTTCTCAACTTTTATCGATTGCCTTTGCTCAACTCACTGATCATGAAATCTGCATAATGGGTCCTGCTTCGCATGTCAAGCGTCCTGCTGAGTCTTACTCTGCTGTTCCTTGCCCTTGCTGATGAAGTGGATTCCCACTCATCTCTGCACACTCTTGGGCAAAACAATCAGGGGCTGAACAGTATTGCAAAACCATTTTGGGAGGAAACAAATAGCAAACACACACACACACATTCAGAGAAGCAGACCTGGGCTTGTACATCAGGTCCAAGCCCACCAGTTGTTCTCAAAATATTGGTAGGATTTGGCAGGCTGATAATGGCTGGTACCTCCTAGATTGTAGGCCAAGTGGCAACCAGCGCTTTCCGTGGTTTTGACACATTTTGACGCTCACAGGAGCTCTTCCGGAGACACGATGAACAGCGTGAACAGTGGGTTTCAGCAACACGCCTGAAGTATCATGAAATATCATGAAGTCAGGGCCACGCAAGCTATGATACGCTATGCTTGAATCATTTCTTAGGTTGGAAAACAAGCGATGTAAATTCCGTATGTTTCGCATTTGTCCTGCATTTGTCCTGCCAGGAAGCCCATTTGGCCATTTGGTGTTGTGCCACGCATTTTCTTCGAAGCCCCCGTCAATGGTCACTGTCATGAGGCAAGCAACGATGAAAAAGGCAAGCAACGGTGGGCAGCCACTTGGCTGCAGGGAGACATTTTTTTCGCTCCCTGGATCCTGATGATCCTATCCTGCAAATGGGAAATCGTAAATTTTGAAGACCTTATTTTTTAATTAAAGTTAAAGAATTATTCAAGAATTATTAGAAAGGATTTGACGGTAATTTAACGGATTTGACATGTTTGACATTTTTTGACAGCCCTTTGCGATGCAGTTTGTTTTGGGGCCCGTGTCTTGAGTCAGGTGAAACAGGTTGAAGAACCTGCAGTAGACTGGGCTGAGAGCGGAAACCAGGCAGCTGAGTCATATTGAGTCATGCTTCCGCCCTTGGCTGTGCCAGTACGAAGTGCGTCATTATGAAATCATATGAAATCAGGCAATCCCAACATTCTGAAGTGCAAAGTGCTTCAAATGCAAAATCGTTCTTTTGCAAAAACCGATGTTTTGAAGCCAGTTGAGTTTTGACGGGCGTGGAAGGATTGTCAAGCACTGGACAGGAGGATTTAGCGACAGACATACTAGTAGTATCTAGTAAGTAGTAATAACATAGAATTGTAATACCATTTGTGTCCAAGCCATGCTATGTTGATCTTGCAGGATCGGGCGCTGGTTGGCCATTCAAAGGCGCGGCCAGTCTTGGCCAGCTTCTTTGCCGGTTCCAGCGAAGCAAACCCGCCACACTTCACTAATTTTCACTCCCCCGAAAGACATTTTCAGGTTTCTCTTTGGAAAGGCTTTTAGCCACAGGTTTGCATTCTCCTTGTGCATGTAATTAGCTTCGGTGTCCCTTAGCTGAGATTTGCTGCACTTTATCATGTTTTATCATTGCCTGGCCATTGAATTCCTGTGGCTTTTTGCACTTTCTTGTTTGTGCAGGGCTCTGGTGCAGCACGAAGCAACGCTGATTCCTCAGTTTTCTCTACTCGTAGCATCACCCAAACCACTTAGGACCCAACCTTGGACCAATTGCACGATCAAACCTGGGTCAGGGCATCCTGAAAGGGGTGTTGTCTCAGCTGCCCAAGGCCAAAGAGCCGGAGTCAGACAAGACAAAGGTGGATGTGAAAGAGGAGATGAAACCGCCAAAAGCAGAGGAGCCCAAAGAGCCCAAAGAGCCCAAAGAGCCCAAAGAGCCCAAAGAGCCCAAAGAGCCCAAGCCATTGCCCAAAGATGCAAAGCAGAAAAAAACCAAAGAAGCCAAACAGGTGCGGCCAAAGTTGAATGATTTTGAATTGGGGCGGCGTTGAGTCTGCTGTTCCGGTGGAAGAGAAAATTGATGTGATTGGCATCACAATATATTATCATATGCGTCATAGTTTGGCAGCTTTGCACGGTGCCAAGCCCATACGCCCAGCCACCACTTGGGCCGGTTGCCGAGGACAAAAAACTCAAGAGAGAAATTGTGACCCAGGTCAAGGAAAGAGAAGCGCCAAGAGAAGCACCAGAGGCTGCACCCAAAGATGCAAAGAAAAAACTGAAGGAACCCAACGACCCGAAGACTTCTGATGAGAAAGAAGACGCGAAGGACAGTGGCATGCATACTGCATGGGGCAGGAAGGGAAAGGAACCATTGCAAAGCGTTTTAAGGGACCCCACAATGACAGCTCTTGATGGTGGTAAGGCAGCCAAGCTCGAAGCACGAACACTGCTGGATGCACCCAAGATCCCCGATGGCAAGATCGAGCAAAAGTGGGCTAAGAAAGGACCACGGTGGCATATGGTGTCCTCTGAGTTGTGAAGGTGTACAAATTCATTGCAATGATAGGTTGAAGTTTTGCGAGATTGCACCTTGTGTTTTCATGTGTTTTCAAGGTCCCAACCCATTCGGGAAACTGATTGAAACAAGGTGAAAGCAGAAAGCATCAGATTGTTCAGTATCCAGATAGGCCTGTAAACTGTAATAGGCTCCTTTTGGAGCTGCAACCCGTGTAGATGCAGATACAGCACATGCTCTACTTCTCTCTACTTTGCTGTTGGGACGGAAGGAAACAAGGCTCCTCCGCCAGATGTCGTCGCTGTGGCTTGGATTTTTGCTGACGACCATGCGGCCAATCCGGGCCATACTTGTACGCAAACAGAGACACATTCTGAAAGGTGTCATGGAATCATGGAAGCGCTTGAGATACCATTTGGGGTGGTAGGCGTGTCATGATGTCTCCCCAATTGTCCAACTCAGGAAAAAATCCCACTGCAAGTTGAAGTGGGTCTCCAACGTCAAGTGACTTTGCTGAAACCTGCTGACCTTTTCGAATTATTATATACAAGATAGGCCTATATATGAGCATGGAACTTAGCTTGAAACCATGCATGTCAAGAAAAAATCACTCCTCTGCCCCGTCCCTGAGGAGAGTTCCCAAACAGAGTCTCAGGCAACAGTTGGAGGAAGCTCGGCTGAACTTTTATTTCTCGCGCCCTGGACTTGCCACGCCAATCATTGTGCTCATGAAAGATTCAGTGTGCATGATGGTTGGGCAAACCAATGCTTCCAACTCTTTGTGATTTGCCTCCCGGGATAGTTCCAGCGTTTCCGGTCCTGCAACATGTCTCCTAATGTCAATTTTGCACACATTCGCTGCAGATGCGTGTGTCAGGAGGCGAACAAGATGACAGTAGACATGTAAGTCGAAGTCGCAAGCACAGCACCTTAGTCGCACGGCATTTGATTCAACCTTGGACTTCAGAGCTTTGAGCGGCATCCAAATGAGTAAGAACTGGGAGGAGCCCCAATGGGAGACTGTGTGTGTGTGTGCGCTTCTCCGCCCTGACAGTCAATAGCACTCAGAATACTCTCTTCATTGTATTTCATTGTAGCATTGTACTTCATGAACCTGCCTCGTCCTTGGGTCCTTGATTGCTCTTGGCTCATGTTTGATCGTATTTCCATGTATTTGCCCATTTTGGTCCTTGGCTGTTTTCACCATTTGTCAATCCTTCTTTCTGCAGGTTTTCAGATCCAAGAGGCAGGTCTTCAGGCTTGGGAGACTCAGCAGTCCCTGCACGATCCTGCGCAGATCAGTCATGCACAAATCATTCAATGTACCTATTGAATCCTATTGAATCAATTGAATCCAATCGATTAATTATTAATTAAGTCTGATGAACCAGGGCATTGTTTCACAGAATGAAAAAGAAGTCCCAGTTCCTTTTTCTAAACAAAACATCCAGCATGGCATGACTAGTATCCACGGATCCATCCAGAGGTTGGGCTTTGGCACATCCATGCATCTGCCCCCGGCCAGGCAGACATCAACTTGCCCCCAGCCCCTTTCCTTGCTCCGAATTTCATGGAGCAACCTGCTTTCACGGAGAAACTTCTTGAATTCTTGAACTTTGAGTTGCAAAGGGCAGCCTGCGACATTCTTCGACAATGTACTACATGTATCTAAATGATCTAAATGTTGCGGATCGGTTTGGCATCTAAAACTTTGCCCCTTTGACTGCTCGTTCTGGTTGGAGCACTCTTGCATCCATGAATCACAAATTAATTATATACATTTGAAGTCGTGGCACCAGGTACAGACTATGTGACTTGACAGGAATTAAAAATACAATAAACATATGAAAAAAATACAACATCAAAATACAATTGTATTGAAAAAACAACTAGAAAAGTGCAACCGTGGAGTTTCTTTTTTCCCCTGCCCGGATGAGTGGAAGATACGTGATGCTGGCTCAAGGCCATGTCTTGGCACAGCATTTTTTTGGGAGTGAGATTTTTCTCAGTTTGCCAGCCCCTAAATGTGTTGCTTGTTGGAGGAGCTTTCCAAATACAAGCAAATTAGAAAATGCAATGTCGCAAGTTTCGAAAAGAAAAAAAAGCTAAGAAAATGCGACGTCGCAAGTTGCAAATAAAATGAAACTCAGAAAATGCAACGTTGGAAGTTGCATTTTTTTCGCATTTTCCGTTGCATTTGTTTTGGTGTCGTTGCATTTGTTTTTGCTTTTTTTTCCGTTTTTTTTTCCGTAAGAAAAATGCAAGAGTTGATCAAAGTTGCAAAAAAAATGCAACGGAGAAAATGCAACGTCGCAAGTTGCAAAAAAATGCAGCGGAGAAAATGCAACGTTGGAAGTTGCATTTTTTGTGCATTTTCCGTTCCGTTATTTTTGGCATTTGCATTTTCCGTTGCATTTTTAGATTTTCCGGGTTTGCTACAACTAGCCTTGTGGTTTTGCTTGGAGTTCTCACGGGAGCGTATGTTGCTTATAGAAGGCGGCACAGCGACTAGTCTTGGTGCCAGAAGACACATCGCTCAGGAACTGCCTGGCTCACTGCATGTCTCCCTTTCTTTTGGACAATTTCAAAGTTAGAGACGTCAAACTTGACAAAATTGTTGCATTTTGGGGTTGTATGATTCTTGTTTTTTTTGGCATTTTTAATGTTTGATAGAAAGATAGAGTCTACCTGACTCGCAGGACTTCAAATATACATAAAATTACGCTGGATACGAGAGCATGTTGTTATATGTTGTTGCTCAGTGTGTGAACGCCTCATGAATTGATGGCGAAATCAATGCTAAAAGGCTAAAGCAACCAGAGTCCGGACCAGTGGGTGTAAATCTTTGTTTCCAGCGGCCCAGGTGTTTTCATGTGTTGGTGATCCCCTTCCAAAGCGGGGTCCTGCAGTAGGAGGCTATCTAATTATATCTAATTTATATAGCCATTTGTGAACGAACACTTTGGCATAATGTTTTTCCTCTTGTATCGTCCAAGGGTAAGTGTATCCAACATGGACGCTCATGCTCACAGTCACACAGATTCTCGAAAGTGCTTAAACCGCCTGAGGCAGAACAGCGGGGTGGTGGACAATTCGCAGGTGTTTGCTGCTGAGGCCATGAGTCCGTCGATGGAGTGCTTGTGTTGCATGTATGTAAGTCTTGCAGTCTTGAACATAGTCATCGCGCTTGAAGCACCTGTTGCTACAAATGGATACATCTGGAATGCAAGGCTTGGCATAGCAGCCGGTTTCCATGAACCGGAGGCTGTGCCCATAGAACTTGCATTTGTGTCCTCTGCCGAGTCTCTGAGGCAAGGCTTCGGAAAGCAACCAATGCCAAGGACTGCATGGTATCCAAGGAAGATGAGAACCAGGCCCGTGGTTGCAGATAAACTTGGAGATGTTTAGGCTAATGATTAAATGTCTCAAGAGAAATCTTTATGCCAATTTATGCCCGTGTTTCTTCACTTTTTGTCAAGCTTACTTTTTAGATCTTTTTAGAGTAAATTTCCTGCAGTCGGGCAGCCTGAGTAGCTCAGCAAGACCCGAGATGGAGAAATGGGCCTGGAGTCAGGCAGAGAAGTTCATCCAAGCTTTAAATGCAATCATCAAAGAAGGCGCCGCGCCGCTGTCGGTCTGTCCACATTTGCACAAGGACTCCAGGCACCAATTCAGGATAAAGCACCTCTTTCCATATGCCTGGCATTTTTGGTGTCACATGTCAAGTGAGTCGATTCTGACGTTGGACCCCACACCCAATCAACCAACCAGTGAATGAGCTTGGTATCCTGGTTCCCCCCATGGAAAATCTTCAGATTTCTATCTCGGAGGCTGCTTCAAGTCCATCAATATGAGTTGAGCATGCCATTGCATAATATTGATTAATGTTGCACACCTGCACCATCCTGCACCCCTTATCCCAATGCCTTAAACATCTTAAACTGCTGTGCTCTTGGAGCGAAATCCTCAGACCTTGATCCAGAGCGACATTGGTGCCTTGCCTGGACTTAAATGAACGCGAGAAGATTTTCAAAATATCTTTCAAAGACAGAAGGGCAGAAAAGACAGAATGAGTCAGCACGTCAGTCCTGGTTTCCATCTGCATAATTTAGGTGAGTTCGGTCTCGGTTGGAAGGGCATACTGTGGGACTTATTATTTTCTAGAGACTTCCAAGTTGCAGTGATCATGCCGTGGTTTTTGGTTGCCTGAGACGATTCCATATGCACGGACATTCCTTGCCTTGATATCGGTTTCGCTTCGCAGTTAACTAACCAAGTGCAAGTCCCACTGGCCAGCCGATCCTCAGTTTTGCGAAGCTTTTTGGCAGCATGAGCACTGGATTTGGGACAAAAGGCGGGCGTACAGACCGGGCTCATTGCGCAGTAGTTTCAGTCGTTGCCTGTGAGAAAGTCAAGACTCAGGGCATGTTTGGCCCTGTGTGGCACTGTGTTCCAGGCTGCGACTTTGACGTGGTCATTTTGAGTGACCCTTGGCTCAGACTGCTCGTTGGTTTCCATTCATTTAGGTTAATTGTTTTTGCTTTTTTTAATACTATTTTGACAGTCACATGGGCCCACATAGTGCTGTGCTGTGTTTGCACTGATGAGAGCTGTCAGTTGAAGACCTCGTTGCACAGAAGTTGGATTGTCCCACCGCCTACCCTTCTTGGGGTGCTGCATGTTGCCGTTGAAATTAATTGCGATTGATTGCAAGTGAGAAAGGCCCCAGAAGGTACTTGTACCATCTTGTATCACATGTGGTTTTCTCATGTTTTCATGTTTTCTCTTCCAAACTGACCCATCTGACTCCTGCCATGTACGTCGAAGATGCACCCCGGACGAGGCCAATACGCCTGAGTCTGAATCCACTGAAGACAACAAAGATGTCTTGATGAAGCTCAGGCCGTGGAACCAGCTCAAGCACATGCATCAGCGTATGATATAATATTATGTAGAATATGATGGTAATAATAAAGTAACACACACATACACACATATACATATATATTTAGTTATATTTAATTATATTTATATATTACATAAATTATGTGTATATATGTGACTATATGTGTATTGTCATATGTATATATAAATATATGTATGTATGTCAATGTGTATATTATAGTGTAAGGTCATAGTGCTACTTGTTTGCTAGAATGTCGCGATTGCCACTGACGTGAAGTCAGACAACCAGATGGGAATGATCTGAGAAATCAATCTCTGATGTCTATTGCTGACTCTAACGTTTCCGGCCCCCTGCGATACCTTAACACTTCCGCCCGCCAACAACGCTGGACACTAACACACTCACTCACTCTCACACACACACACACTGTCACAAAGATATGATGTGCCGAACGTTTTGATTGGTAGGCGGCCCCTGTCTCTCTCTCTCTATCTCTCTCTCTCTCACTCACTCTTTAGATGCATTTTGATGCATTATTTCCACTATTGGTTTGTATGAGTAGTTATTGTTTCATGTTGTTTCATGTTGTTTCATGTTGTTTCATGTTGTTTCATGTTGTTTCATATTGTTTCATCAATTTAACTAGTACTGCTAGTACTGGGCCCGTTTCTTTGTGGCCCCGCCCTCTCTGTGGCAGGAAGATTCTTTTGGACAAGCCAGACTTTGAGATCAAGAACGTCATCCTGACAGCACGTGTGCCCATACTGATTCTTGACAGAGCCAAATTTACCTATATAGCCCAGATTCTCTAGATGCAGCTGTGATTGTGCTGAGTAGTCTTGAAGAAGATGTGCATGCAGCGTTGTGTCCCGTTTTGGGGGTGCGAAACTAGCTACCGATGTTTGAGGGTCTGGGAAGCAGCTGCGTTGAGACCGTATGACCTAAGGAAGTTGGAGTATGGAGGTCGTGACGTTGACGTTTCAGTGAACAATGAGAAGGCAAATATCAGATCAGATTACTGACCGTATCAAGCATGGTATCTAGAAGTTGTCAAATTGTGTGATCGGCCTACTGTATGGAAATACATGGAAATACATGGAAATACTGTAAATACTGTAAGTGTGTTGTTGACACGGGGATGACTTCATCGCTGTGTCAGATGCCTAGTGCCTAGGAAACATAAAAGATCATAAAAGCACGTCGAAGCAGACTCTAGCTAAGACTGTTGTCCCTGAAATAACGCCATATTTCAAGCTGTTAACACCCCTATTCATTAATGACTCTTAAATGCTAAAGAAGTGTAGTTTGGTACTTACATGAAACATGTTTGATCGTTATTTGCCTTTGGGCCCCACTTGAAATCTTGTAACGAGGTGCAAAGGCTGGCCTGAAATACCTTGAAAGACCTCATTGCAGCATTGACAGACATTGACAGACCATGACAGATCACACAGACCAGCATGTTGCTTGGTCATGCCTTGCCACCCCTCGAACCTGAAGCCGGAAAGATATCAGTGCTGGATTTGGACTGGCAGGCGTTGAAAAACTCACGTTTGCTCCACGCATATGCGCAGTTGGATCCCTTAATCGCAGAGAAGCAGGGCCGCAAGCAGAATAGCCCGGATCAGTTACAAAATTCTTTCAATTATCAGACGCAAAGCAAGGTGAAGGTGAAGGTGAAGGTGTGAATAATAAATTACAGTACCCGACCGAACAAACAAATGGCTCCAAACACATGTGCAATGACTGAGTTATTAATTTATGCATTATATGTACTGTATATATATATATATATTGTGCAAGACATCACATGCCGCACCGAAGCAAGCCCAGAACCTCTAGGTGCCATGGTTGTATTCGTGTGCAAGTTCACCAGCAATGATGTCGTCTAACAGTACAGTTACATGCATTCAACATTATTTCTTTGCATCGTTGATCTACATTGATTTATTATAGCCAGCAAATAAGCAATGAATAAGCACTGACAGGACAGAAGATCCACCATCTCATAAATAGAGCTCTAGGATGTGCTCCCAGGTTGTCACGGCACAAGATGCAGACATATCGCAGGTCTCCATGCTCTGAGGTTTGGAATTGCAGTGAAACTGTGGGCAAAAGATGCACAGCTGCAACTTGGTGGCCGAGAAGAATCGCATTGGCCCTGGTGCAAGAATCAATGACCAACGGGACTAGAATATACTATACAGGTTATAGGTTGCTCGAATCCGTTTTTGCATATTGGGATCATTGGGATTTGCATTGCGTATCACATTGCCTATAGCTTGAGTATGTTTCAGTCCGCTTCAGTCCGCCATAGCGTCGCCATTTTGAGAAGCATGGTCCTATACATTCATGAACGCTAAGGTGCGGTGCAAAAGATGGCCATTTGTCATCGTAGCATGGCAATGCTTAGTCGCAAGACCCGTCGCTGCAAGCAAAACGTTGGTTTACAAATGTTTGAACATATTTGAAATATTTTTGAAATGCTGCAATTCCCCAGCAACGTTGCTTTGAATCCACTAGATTTGCTTCCAATTCTGGGCAATTGGGGCTGTTATCATGGCAGATCCAGGTATGCTTTCATCCTCATGGCCTTGTACTTCCTTCAAGTGGGCGGCGATGAGCACCTTGGTTTCTGCAACAAGCTTGGCACTGGTAGAACCATGGAGGCTTCCGTGGCAGATCACCCATATCGACATATATGACATAACCTCTCTGAGAACTTGGGCTATGGCATGCTATGGCTATGGATGGATTCTGTGGGATGTGTTCAGTCAGTGCAAGGGATAATCCAGCACGAGAACAGCGTTCCCCAACTGTTCAACGGCAACTGCTAAGGATGCCATCTTTGCAACAGGGCTTGGATGAAAGCTGGGCTGCATGTTTGCAAGATCAGAGAGAGAGAGAGAGAGAGAGAGCGTGGACGCACCAAGCATTGGAGTAGAAAGCAGTGAAAGAGGAGCGAATGGATTCATCCACTGCATGCCATCCTGAAATGCTCAAACCATCTCAAACCTGTTGTGATTCAATACAGATGCCACCTGCCAAGGCTACAGCAGATGACGATGAAGCCCTTTTCAAGCGCGTGCAGGTCGTTAAGGCCCTGCAGCGGGTGGATTGGGGTTGGGCTTTTGAGATTTTTGAGCGCCTCGCAGTTATTTTGATGGCCGCTATTCCAGTCAGAATCAACGTCAGTTCAATTGGACAGTTCTGAACGTTTAGGACAGAGCAGTTGTGACTTGTAGTATCGACAAGCATGATAAGCTTTCATGCTGAACGAGTGTGGATTTTTGTGAGTGATGGAGCTATAAAATTCAACGAAGTTTCAAGACAGCAAATACTGAATGAACAAACTGCACAAGAGTGGCTGTCAAGAGCTGTGTATATCTATTTGAGGGTATACACTTTCACTGATCATCACTGATCTATTTTTGGTTCAGCAGAACATAGCATGGGTGAGGACGGGGTGTTCACCCCCCAAAATAGTTTGGGTGGAAATAGAATGCCACATTAATTATGTGTGAATCAATCAGCTTTAGATTTCCAGTCAATTTTAGTATCTGCTCTCCTTGCCCAGGGCAATCAACAATCTTACATGACTTTGGCACAAAGAAACCACTACATACATCTATCAACGTCTATCAACCTCTATCAACCATCTTGCAGTTATAACACGGCAGGAGAGCTGGCGATTGCCGACAAGCAACTTGACAGTGAAGTCGGCTGCGTGCTTCAAAAGTCAACCCGTCGGGCGATCTTAGTGCATTTTGCTTGAGCCCAAAGATGATCAAAGATGTATATAAGTCGACATGCAAGAAGTCCGAAGGTCACAACTGGGTCAAGTGGGTCCGGGTTTCTTTTCTGCTGTATCATCTGCATGAACTAAGCTTGAACATTTTGAAGGATGGGAAACAGAATCCGGTAGAGGGTGCATGTGGGCCGCGGGTATTTTGAATGACAAACCAAGCATGCAATTTGATGCCAGGTGATCCGTTGGTTAACTTCCAAGATGTTGTGTCTCCTTCCAGGAACCAAGTGACACCTGGACCAAGTTTGGGACTCCATGACTTTAGGCTGCCACAATATCATAATTGAGATCGCTCTCATGTTGATCCATGTTGTGGGGCCTGGCTCAAGAACCTTTTCACATCTTAGCTTGGGTATTCCACGTATTCCACCCGGGGTTTGTCCTTTGCCACGGCCAAACGGCATCGGGTGTTGCCACAGAATTGCAATGCAGCTGAGCACTGACCTGGTACGCCTGGTAGCTGGGTGGAGACCTGGCAGTGCGCTGGTGCTTCTTCTGCTTTCTCTTGTGCATTTTGTGCAGTTGGTTGCCACAGACGATTGTTCGCAGCTGGGAGCGGCGACCCTGTTCCTTTGTCGTTTTCTGAGCTTCAAGCAGCTTTTGATGCTACATATATGTATCATATATGTATATATATATAGATATATACACGATTATATACGTATGATTATGTATATGTATACATGTCATGCCATATGTTTACATGGCCATTTCACAAAAGGGTGGCTCAGGGGTTGGGAGCAACCCAACCGATACAGTAGCCTGCACTGAGGTCCGCTGGTCCTCGTATCAAATGGGATCATGAGTGGCAGAGCTTTGCCAAACAGACTTTACAAGCTGCTCGAACTCCTTTGGGCAGGAAGGGATATTTAGATGGCACACGGCAGTGGATTGAATCATTTTTTCTAGGAGGGATGAACGAGTAAGCATTTGAGTTTAGTTGGGTTTGAACATTCATTCATATGGCTGAACTATCCGGGTTCTCCACCGTGAGCTGAACAGGACATTCAGCATTCAGACGCTGGCTAATGGAGGCCGCTTTGCTTTTTTCCAGAGTCCGAGAGGTCCAAACTACTTGGAATGGCAGACTTTGGCTGATGGCAGCTCGCATTCACTTGTGATTATCCTTTCTTTTGTCAGCGTTTCAGCTAGTCTTGTGATGCCCCATAAACCCCCAAAGCACAAAGTCCACTCAAAGGCCTATGATCCCGTGACTTGGCCACGACATGCTTACGTTGCCTACACGTGTTACACATGCAGTCGGACTGCCAACAAAGGCCATACTCTTGGCACGCCGCCGCATCCATTCTACATGCCTCTGAATCAGAGCCGTTTTGCATGGCAACAGTGCCATGAGACAATAGCAGACCCAATTTTCGACTCCTGGCGTGTTCTAGCAACTTGCTATGTATTTTTCCCAAAAGCATCTCCGATGCTTGGGTTCTCGTTTAGTTTACTTTGCCGCCGGGGGAGCGATACGGAAGCGACGACAGGATGAAAGGTCAGGAAACCGTGGGAAATAGCTTGGGGAGAGGTTTGTTGGGGAGAGCTCCGTTGGGAGGGAGCGAGAAGGAAGCGCGGACATCGTGGATGGACAGGAAACCGTGGGAAAGCTCCCTTAGGAGGGAGCGAGACGGAAGCGTGGAAACCGTGGACGGATGGCTTGGGGAGAGCTCTGTTGCGAGGGAGCGAGACGGAAGCGTGGACACCGTGGACGGATGGGAAACCGTGGGAAAGGGAGCGAAACGGAAGCGTGGACATCGCTGGACGGACAGGAAACCGTGGGAAATACGGGAGAGCTCGGTTGGGAGGGAGCGGGATGGAAGCGTGGACGTTGTGGACGGATGGGAAACCATGGGAAATATGGGGAATAGCTTGGGGAGAGCTCCGATGGGAGGGAGCGAGACGGAAGCGTGGACACCGTGGACGGATGGGAAGCCGTGGGAAATGGGGAGAGCTCCGTTGGGAGGGAGCAAGGCGCAAGCTTTGACATCACGGAAGGATGGGAAACCGTGGGAAATAGCTTGGGGAGAGCTCCGCTAGGAGGAAGCGACATACTGAGAAGCAGAGCTGTTGGCACGAGTTTTCAGGACAAATTCCATCAATGCGATTGTCCGGCAAAACTGTGCGCCGAAGACTTTTCAAGTGCAAACGTTGGGCGATGGGACACGCATAGCTTCGTTACAGGGAGCGACACTAAAAATGCACAGCTGTTGGCACGCTTTTTTTTTCAGGACAAATTTCATCAATACGATTGTTCCGAAAATTGTGCGGCCAAGACCTGCCAAAGTTTCCAAACCCTGGGCCATGGAACATGCATAGCTTCGTTGACAAATGGGTTAGTATTTTTTCCGTGGTCCTAGATATGTATTGGTGGAAGGCGGCGCTCTTGCGAAGCATACCCCCGAAGCACACCCCGAAGCAGAGCCCCGAAGCATACCCCGAAGCAAACCCCCAAAATGAAGATCATTTTTGGGGGCTTGTTGATGGTTGTTGTTTGG